CAAGGATCGTTAATCGTAATGGCAAATGCTCCGAGCACCTTTTGTCTTGCAAAAGAGCTTCCGGTACAAAAGCAATGGAATTATACAATCTAATCTCAGAAACACTTGTCTCGAAAGGTGTGTCGTTTGGTAAACTCGTAGCAAAAACATACGACGGCGCTTCGAATATGAGCGGATGCTACAACGGCTTGCAAGCGATCATCAAAGAGAAAGTTGGAAAACATGTTGCTTTTGTTCACTGTTTTGCACATACGCTTAATCTTGTTTTGTCCGACTCTGCAAGTGTTGATGTTCAAGTAATAAGCCTCTTCAATGACCTCGAAGCCTTGTACGTTCTCTTTAGCAAGACACAAAGAATCTATGATTTGTTCGAAGCTGTCCAACTGGAAGAAAACCTGAAAGTCCTTTCCCTAAAGAGACTTAATACTGTTCGTTGGCATTCACGCGAGTTGTGTCTAAAGGTCCTTCTCCCTCGTTATGATTGCATTTTAAGTGTCCTGGAAACCGTTGGACAGTTTAATTGATGGAAACCCACGAAAAACGATCATTGGCTTATTGAAGCAGATTCAAACAAAGCATTTTCTGGCTACCGCGCACCTCTTTCGAGAAATATTTGCATCCACTGGTCCACTAAGCCGATATTTACAACGCGTTGATGTTGATTTTGGAAAAGCCATGGGTATGGTCGAAAGCGCGATCGACGAGCTCAATGAATTGCGTAAACAACCGGAGCGAATTATCAGATACGTCGAGCAAAAACACGACTCCCCCAGCGTGACTTCGGAACAACCAAGAATCAGACGTCGAAGACGAATGGATGATGAAAATGCCGAAGACGAACCTGCTGAAACACCAGAAGATCACTGGAAACGTAACACATTTTACGTTTCTGTGGACACGATCTTAAATTCATTGAAGAATCGGTTTGAGAAAAACCAACCCTTGCTCCAAGCTTTTTCGTTGTTTGCTCCAAGCCGTTTCTCACAACTTGTGAAGAATTTCAAAACCGCACATCATCTCCAAGCGTGCCTTAACACTTTTTGTGAAACGTACAATATAGGTGCGTTTAGATGTGCTGACGAATTGTTCAATTTTGCTCGTTCTTTTGAGAAATTCGACTGTTCAACTGTCTGCGAGCAAGAAGATGATGATGATGACGGCGAAGACGACGAGGGCGACGATGACTATGATGATGATGACGGCGAGGACAACGATGGTTATGATGATGATGACGATGATGAGGACGACGACGAAATCTCAAGCACGTCAGATAATGAGCAAAGCGACAGCGGCGGCAAGAAAGCTGAAAAACAAACGAAGAAAAAAGTTCCATCTTTCTCTGAAGCTCTTTCACTCCTGTGTAACCCAGATTATAGTTTCGTTGATGCGTATCCAACTCTCTGTCGCGTTTATGCTATTGCTGTGGCCATCCCAGTTAGTTCGTCGACTGCAGAGCGTTCGTTTTCTGCACTCAAGAGGATGAAGACTCGCATTCGCTCATCCATGGTTCAGGAGAGACTTGAATCATTGCTTTCAATGTCAATCGAGCGTAAAATTTTGCACAAATGCGACAAAGAACATCTCATTAACTTGTTCGCAGGGCTTTCTCCCGAGCTGTCAAAAGCTCTACTTTGACTTGCATTTGGTTCATTGGTTGTCTTTTAAAACTGTACATGTGATATTAATATACTCAATTTGCATAAACTATAGCTTATAGTATATACGTTATTGACATTTGACCTGGAACAAAATTATGTTCTCTCATTATCAGCATATTGATAGTAAAAATTGTATTATAGTATAATTATATACGTTGATAATATGTTACAACAAAACCTGACTAACGTTGTTTTAGATTTGTACTTGGTGGTAAACTGTTTCACAAAATGTGTTCTCAGAATGCTAGAAATGCCACTTCACAAACCTAGATTTAAAAGCAATTTTCTGGAAGAGCATGCCCCCAGTCTCTTCTGGGTCCCTCGTGCCTACGACACTCGATGTGTACACTCCCACTAATCAATTCTTCTCATTTTTCAAACAAAAATTGCTTCAAAGCTCATTGTGTGAAACGTGATTTTCCAAATATATGCTTTTGAAAATTGAAATCTTGCTTTAATATACTCAGTGTGTTTATTCCACTCCTGGCAAACAACCATATTTTTGAGATCAGTGAGGAGGTCCACCCTTTGATCATAGCCATGCGCCCACGGTATTTGATGAACGGGAGGGGGGCGCAAGAATCGAGATAACTGTTAAGGGCGACAAATTTAACACTGGCCCCCCGTGAAATTTTCGAGCCACCACGCCACTGATCCGTGCAACATATCCTCATGTAGTTGCTACTCGTCTTGTTGCTGTTGATGCTCGAGAGTAAACATTGTTCTTCATCATTATGGGTGGAGCTATCAAACTAGCACCACGAAGAACTAATAAGTCTTGGATATTAAACCCTTGTCTGCCATTATGCAATCATCTGGTTCTATCTGATCACTCCTTTCCTTTCATGTAGGTTAATGTTGAAAAATTAAGTAGAAATTCCATCTCTCTCTAAGAACAGCACCCAAGAAATAAAAATCTTGCTACCATTTCCAGTAGATATATCAAAAGTGGTACACAGTATAATGTTAGTCTTCTCTTTAAGTTGCACAAGGGTAAAAGCAAGCTGTTCTTTTTTTGGTGAGTTTAGTGCAATTTTATTTAGTGCAAAAGTGCTATAAAATAATGATGATAATATTTATGCTCGTATACTAAATGCATTGGTGACAAACACAACTTTTAACTAAATTGCATAGTGCTTCTAGACATTCCTTTGTTAAACCTTCAAAAATCAAAATATTAACCCATTAAGGACCAGCGCTCTCCCCTTGACGAGCAAAATTATCTGGCATTAGACCGGTTAAAATGTCTGACGTTAGACAGAGTAAAATCGTCTGGCGTTAAACAGAGTAAAAATAATAAAGTAGGACGCATCAGGGCGCAACATGCAACTCAATTGGTTAAATATGATAAGTTGCTTATGGATTTGCTATATAGAGAATAATACATGGGTGCGCGAAAATACCAGATTTATTTCGAGTGTTGAACATGATATCTCACGAGTGAGCGCAGCGTTCAACACGAGAAATAAATCTGGTATTTCCTGTATTTTTCTGTTTATTATATAAACAAAATTCAGTGAAAAACAATAAAACGTCCGTGGCAATGCGTTTTACAACAAATGATATTTTCACACGTAAAAATATCGTATTTTTTACGTGTGTTTAAATACGATTTTTCTCAGTGGCAAAAACTCTATATAACACTTATGTTTATATAATAAATATAATATATAGGCGATGGGGCAATGTAGTAAATAATTTACCAAGGGCATTCAATGGTCAGTGGGCCATAAATTCATTTGAATGTTGTTATTAGTGTTATCCTTCATAAAACTATCAAATTTGTACAAATTACCTGTGTAATGATATGTTAGTAAAAGTCATTATATTACCACACCAGATATCTTGGCTAGAAATAAATATATAGGCTAGAAATAAATTAAACCATCTTGTTAAAAAATAAGTAAAACTGAGTATTATGCTAGGTATTGCACAACACTTAGTCATAGTGCAAAAATTAAAAGTATTTGATAAATGTCCAATAGCATGCCTTCTACGATACTTAGAGATAGTAATGAGATCACAGACAGCAAAGCCATTGCTAATGCCTTCAGTAGTAATATAGGTACCGTTCAACCCCCCCCCCCCCCCCCTTTTG